CATGAGGCAGATCCTCAAACTAGAAACCTAAGTGTTGTTCTTTACACACCAGTCTCTCCTCATCCCACATCTAGTCTGTCACCACCAAAATATGTCTTGAACTCTGAGTATCTTCCTTGCTAATTTCCATGTTTCCTTTCTTATTTCTCCACCTCTCCTGAATCTATTCCCCACACTGTGTAGCCAGTTTGCATCTTTTAAAACTGCAAACTGGCAGGTGTCATTCCTCTGCCATCCCCACCACTGGTGGCTTCCTGGTGCTTTGTCCCATGGCGACAGTGGCTGGCCCATGTCTCCAACCTGCTGTCTCCCTGGACCACTCCACTGCAGCCCTGCCACCCGCAGTTCCACTAGGGGCCTGGTTCTTCCCTTGTCCAGGGCCTTAGGCCTGCTATGCTCTTCTCTCTGCCTGGAATCCCTGTAGGTGATTCATTACCAATCTGGTCTTGGCTATAATGCCACCTCCTCAGGGAAGTCCTCCCTGACTACCTATGATGAATTAGATCTCCTAGTTGTTCACTTTCATAGAGACTTGTCTTTTTTTCTCATAGAACCTCCCCCAGTTTGATAATTCCTCATGTATTCAGTGGTGATCTAATTAATATCTTTCTTCTCTAGCAGCCACCAGACTATAGAACCCAGCTGTCTAAAACTGTCTGATTTGCTCACTCTGCTGGCATTCCAGGGCCTGGGAGAAGGTTGCTACTTACATGTTGAGAGAATGTGTGTGTGCCACCTCAGCTGTGCCCTGTGGACATTATTAGCGAGTATTTGAGAAGTAGATGGAGAGAGGCCCTCAAAGTTGGCTAGAAGATAAATGACTAAAAGGAAAGCCTGTTTTTCTCATTCTTAGGTTGGTAAAATTATCTACTTTTCTTTATCTTTGGTGTTCTAAATGGGTCTTCTGTTCTGAAGTGCCCCTCAGTGAGCGTGGGCTCGCTGACCACCCTGTGTGGCGATGCTGTCTGCATGCGCCTATGAGAACCCACGGGAGTGCCATGCCGCCCTGTCCCCATCTTTATCTGCTTCACAATTTCCTGTCTAGGCCCTTAAAATCTTGATTTGCACAGTTATTTATCTTTGTGCTCTTCATGATGCCCTGGTAAGGCATTCTTTATGATTTCATCCTGAGAGCACAAGCCCTGTTGAAAAGAGAACATGCTTTAAATAAAGCCTGCTTGGCATTGGGCTTGATGGGGAGGAGGAGTGGGAGGGGGCGTCAGGGCAGCGCAAGGCCCCTGGCCACCCTCTATCGCAGGAAGGCTCATAAACACAAGGATCTCGCTCAAGCCCCAGCAGGTCTGGAATCTCAGCTTGGTGCTTTGCCAGGTATGATTTTGCCACAAGGGGCACTTCTCTTCCAGAATCTGATGCAGTCATTCTCTTCAGAGGGGTTGGGCATTTATCTAGACCTGTCAGAAGCAGGTTTTTCAGCAGCCCCTGTGCTGGGCACCGAGGACGCAGCAGTAGGGAGACCACAGTTCTTGGGATTTAGAAGGGAAGAGATGCACATTTGATAGGCCAAAATTAAGAAATTCGGCAATGCCAAATGTTGGAGCAGATGTGTATCGATAGGGTATCTTGGGCTTTGTTGGTGGAAGTTGACTTATCTACCTAGCAAAGTTGAATACCTACTCACCCTGTAACCCAGAAGTTCAACTCCAAGAACTGTGTCCACAACTCCAGAAGCCCTTGCACCTGTGCCCATTCAGGATCTTTGTGACAGAAGAAATTCACTGCAGTATTTCCAGCAAAAAACTGGAAACGCCCCCCAGTGCACATCAATAGGAACCCAGGTTGCTATGTCCTACCTACACAAAGTACGGCAGATGGCATCAGCAGCAAATGAGCTGCAGGTGCACACACCATGTGTACAGATTTTTAGTATCATAACTGGCACAATGCCTCAGTCATACAGTTCAAAAACTCACACAACAAAGCAAATTACTGATTAGGCATGTGTGCTACATATGTAGTTAACCTCTACACAATCATACGCACGTGTGTATAAAAAGAAAGGGAATGCTGTGTTCCAAATTCAAGGCAGTGGCTCCCTCCCACTGGGGAGGGCGGGGGAGCTGGATGGGGAGGACCACACAGGTAGGCATGAGTTGTCAATAGTGTAGTTCAGAGGTGGAGGGGGCAATGGATTCGTGGGTGTTTCATATATAATTTAAATCTGTCGGTACACAGAGGCAGGGGCTGACCTGTAAAGCAGTGGTGACCAAACAGTGAGTCCTGTTCCAGTGACTAGCTGTGTCTGGAGTCAGGGAAGCCCTTCCAGGAGGTGCATAGGAGCAGAGGTTAGGGATGAATGGGAATTTGCCAGTGGAAGAAATTCCAGGGAGAAGCCACAGGGGCAAAGCACAGAGACATTCAGAAGCACAGTGTGTGCAAGGAATTGTTCAAGAGTCCCTTGGCTGCGGTTTCAGGGTTAGGGAGAATGTGGGGCTGAAAAGGCTGTGGAATTGGGCTGCGTGGTGGAGGCTTCCTGGTGGCGGAGAGGGTGCTCAGCCCTGTGAGTAAGGCTTTTCAGCGGAGTGCCTTGTGGGGCGCTGGAGGGGGTGCCAGGAGACCCCCACCCATCACAGGGAGTCCCCATAGAATTTCGACTGACCAGAGGATCTTCTTGCTCATGGCAGGACCATGACAAGCTTTGAAAGCCATGAGGTAGATGATAGGAGCCCACATAAGAGCTGGTGACAAATAATTGCATCATCAGAGAAACGTTTTAGAAAGCTGCACAGGCTCCTGCAGGCGCCTGGGAGGGAAGAGCTGTGACCTGGGCCCCACCTCACTGGGCAGACGATGCTTAGTGTAAGGTGATATTCTCCAGTGACTCTGAGTAATGTTCCCAAAAATCTCATTCTCCCATTGCCTTTTCAGACCATTTCAGAGATGTTTTCTGTTTCTTTGTGATTGATCTTGGCTGTGGCTTCTGACACTGTGCGTCTCACTTTCTCTGTCCCCTGACCTCTGGTTAGGTAGTTAATGATCTTTAAACAAACACTAGAGTATTATGGCTCTCCAGGAAAGGTCCTGGGCTCGTGGGCCATTAGCAACACACTCTCCCTCTATCCAGGGAGAAAATGAGTGTTTGCACACCCTGACTCGGTAGACAGGGACGCTTGCCACCTAAGTGTCAAAATTCTCTTTAACTATTTTTGATGGCAAGTTTTCAGAAATACATTACACATTTCTCTGCTTCATTAAACAAAAATCTATGAACACAGTTTTTTCTCAGAGACAGTGGATCATAGGTAGGAATATCCATTCATTACTGGAGACTTTCTATGTCTGTTCTTGATTTACAAACTGTGAATGCCAAAATCTGCCCAGTATAGTAGTCAGTGTGATATTTTAGAAACAGAGATAAGATCAAGTTACTCCTTTGCCTAAACTCCTCCAGTGACTTCCGGGCCTTGCACTCTACTGTGGGGCCCGAGCCTTGACCTCTGTATTAGTCTGTTTTCACGCTGCTGATAAAGATATACCCGAGACTGGGTAATTTATTTTTTCAAAAAAGAGGCTTAGTGGACTCACAGTTCCACGTGACTGAGGAGGCCTCACAATCATGGTGGAAGGCCGAAGGCATGTCTTACATGGCGCCAGGCAAGAGAGAGAATGAGAGCAAAGTTAAGGGGGTTTCCCCTTATGCAACCATCAGATCTAGTGACACTTATTCACTACCAGTATGAGGGTACCCCTTACCCCCATGATTCAGTTACCTCCCACAACACATGGCAATTAAGGAAGCTACAATTCAAGATGACATTTGGGTGGAGACACAGCCAAACCATATCAACCTCCTTCCCTGCTGTATCCCTCCCCACCCCTGCTGCAGCCCTCCTGCCTCTATGCATACTCAGACTCACCAAGCTGCTGCCCTCTTAGGGCTTGTACTTACCAGTTCCCCCATTTACAGCTGTCTTTCTTTGGGTCCTCATGCAGCTGGCTGCTTTATACTAAAGTCTTAGCTCCAATTTTTCTAGTATATGTGCTGCCGAAGCGAGCACTAAAGTCTTAGCTCAAACTCACTTCTGTGAGACCCTTACCCTACCCAGGCCACCTCTATCACATCACCCTGCATTGTTTTCTTTAGAGCATATGTTGTCTGTTATATATAAAATATATATATATAATTTAACATAATTATATTAAATAATGTATTTGCAGGCATGTAATTTATATATTAATTTATATTGATATGGATTGAATTAATATATAATATATATAATTTTCCTATGTTTGTAATTTTGTTGTTGCTGTTGTTTCTAGGTATTAAGCTCTTTGGAAACAGAGGTCACTCTATTTCTTCCCCTAGAACAGTGCCTGGCACACAGTAGGCACTGTGGAAATATGAGTTGAATGAATGAAGAGAGTTTCTGCTCTAGGCCACCCACAGGCCAGCAGGCAGCAGATACACAATAGACAGTGACTACGTAGGCTGTGGGATTCAGAGGGGCAGGGTTACCACTAAGGAGTCAGGGACAAGTTCTGCCACTGGGGTTGGGGCAGGCTTTCCAGAGCAGTAGTGCTTGTCCCAGGCTTTAGAGGACAGATGGGCACAGCTTGGTAGGCTGAGCAGCTGAGGTGGCCATTCTGGGGGGACGAGGCAGGCAAACCTGGACAGAGGGCTGCAAAGTGCCTGCATGGTTGATGGAAGGGACTAGAGCCTGGGTTGGAGCAGGGATGAAGGGAACTAAGATAGTCAAGGATTTGGCTGCTATGACCCTGCCTTCCTCCTGGAAAAGCAGTGAGTCTTGGAGAGTGGGGCCCCAGCCCTGCTTTGCTGGTGGCTCTCGGCCTTTTGCTTTCATTGTGGTGCCTGCTCTGGTCTAGGAGAGTCTGCCTGGGCCCCGGCACCCTTGGCTGGTCCTCACAGTCCCTGCAGGTGGTAATGAGCACAGGGACAGGATTATCTAGCTGCAGCTCCCCTCTCCTCCCCACAGCCCCAAGGCTTGTTGGTTTCATGTGCTTTCTCACTTGCTCCCCATCAGGTGGTGAAGAAGGTGAAATCCATGCAGATGTTCCACATGCCCATCACTTCAGCCATGCAAGGAGACCGGCTGGGCATCTGTGTCACCCAGTTTGACCCCAAGCTGCTGGAGCGCGGGTTGGTGTGTGCCCCAGAGTCCCTGCACACTGTCCACGCAGCCCTTATCTCTGTGGAAAAGATACCATATTTTCGGGGGCCCCTGCAGACCAAGGCCAAGTTCCACATTACAGTGGGCCATGAGACGGTCATGGGCAAGTTGATGTTCTTCACCCCTGCTCCAGATAACTTTGACCAGGAACCTATACTGGACTCCTTTGACTTCACTCAAGAATACCTCTTCCAGGAGCAGTACTTGTACAAGGATTTGGCATCAGCAGTGACAGACAATGATGAGGCCGACAAGAAGGCTGGCCAGGCCACAGAGGGCCTTTGCCCTCGGCAGCAGTGGGCCCTGGTGGAGTTTGAGAAGCCCGTCACCTGCCCTCGGCTATGCCTGGTGATTGGCTCCAGGCTAGATGCGGATATTCATTCCAACACGTGCCGGCTGGCCTTCCATGGCATCCTGCTACATGGGCTGGAGGACAGGAACTATGCCGACAGCTTCCTGCCCAGACTAAAGGTGTACAAGCTGAAGCACAAGCATGGCCTCGTGGAGCGGGTGAGCATGCCTGGCCCCACACCCCTTCCCTTCTTGCCTGGGTGGCCGGGATCCGTGGCCTGACATCTGTGATGAGAGCCAAAAGCCCTCAGAGACCTTCTGATGCCAACCTCTGTAGTTTCTGGACAAGGTACCTGATGCCCAGAGTGGTCGAGTGGGCATAGTTCTCTCAGCTGGTCAGTCACAGAGCCAGGGCCAGCATCTGGGCAGGAGGACTCCCATTGCACCCAATCCCACCCGGCTATCCCACCCCCACTTATTTACATGGTGGAGGTGGCCCCCATGGGTCTTAGCAGGTCTGGGCTCCCCCACAGCCAGCATCAGATGGCAGCGGTTAGCACTGACCTCCCTGGCCTGCTGCACTGACCAGGCCCCATTCTCTTGCCCTTGGTGGGCACCATACCTCCATCTGCCTGGGGGGCTGCCCATGTGCCCCTTGTCCAGAGGAAAACACTGCCCATCAGCTGTGTCAGGCCTGGTTTTTCATCACCTGTGGACTGAGGGGAAGGGGCTAGTGGTGGCAAGTGGTGCCAGAGAGCAAGAGGAAGGAAGGTACAGGAAGCTGACACAGTGGGAGGTCCAGCCCCTGGATACCTAGTGTGCCTGAAGTTCATCATTGCTGGATGCAGGTCTTAGGCATGTGGGTGAGCCAGTCTAATTGAGGTAGGATGAGGCCTTGGCTGTGCCTTGCTGGGTGACCCTGGATCTTGGGCTTTCAGGGTGGTGGTTGCTCTGTCCCAGGAGACCCTTACTGGGCCCTCGGCCTCCCTCAGCTGGTCCTGTGATACCTCATAACCTGGACCCAGTGCTGATTGGGATGGGCCTGCCACTAGGGAGGACAGAACACAGTGGTCTCCCCTGAAGTAGTGGAATCACCGTCTCGCACGGGGCATCCATCCCCAGCAGCTATCCACACAGCACCAAATGGCAATCCATGCCCATCAGGCCTTGAAGGTGGGATAGATGGACAACCTGACCTCACTGTCTTGTGGCTGGCTCCCTGGCTGTGGGCCCAAGCAGGTCAGCAGTAGCTGTCCTGGGACATGACTGGGTTTTGACTGACTCAGAGAGCACAGAGTTCTGGCAACCCCACTGTTAGGGGCTCAGGCTCCTAGCAGGAGGGGTCTGCCCTGAAGCTTTCAACAAGTACCTCAGTTCCTCACAGGAGCCTGATGGAGGTCCCCTGGGCTTAGTGCAGGTGCCAGCACAACATCTGGCCCATCCACAGTGTCACATGTGATGGGCTTCCATCCCCCACCCTCCCCTCTAGGTCTCTGTCCTCTTCAGATCCCTGAGTTTTCTCCTCTGGGATTCTGTCTCTGCACCCCCTTCCCCTCCCCTTCTCCTTGTCTCAGGTTCTTCCTGGGTGCTCTTGCTGGCCCTCTTTTTCTCCTGCCCCTGTACCTAGACCCGCCCTCAAGTGGTGGATTGAGGAGCAACCCCATCCTCTCCCTTCCCCAGATCCAGAGCTTGGACCATTAGCTCCGTGGGGCCACTGAGGCCTGTTCAGAGCTCCATCAGCCTTAGACCAGTCCCAAGATGCTGATTGAAGATGAAGGTGATAAAGTGTGTGTCACTCGTTTGTCTAGCCTGATTTATTAGCAGTGTTTGGAGTATAATTATTCTATAATAAAATATCTATGAGAGAGTAATGTCCCAATTGGTGTGGCTCCTGGGTCTAATTGCTCCCACTCAGGCCTGTCACCGGTAGTGCAGCAGTCACTTCCTTTGAGAACTGGGAGGAGGATCTATGAGGAGGAAGTAAACATATGGCCAAAATGACTCCTGCCTTCGAAGGGCTGAAGGAGGGGCCAGGAGACATGTTGACCTATGCCCTGCCACTAACCTGGGGCATCGCTGGGGCCACTAGCCTTTTCCTGCTCAGGCCGGGGAGGCTGGAAGTGGAAGCACAAGAACCATAGGCAGTCTACGGAAGCTGAGTCCAAATAGACAACCCTGAGCAGAGACAGGCTTCCTCTAACCAGGGACAGCCGCATGGGGTGACTGTAGATTTGTGCAGAGGTGAGATCCTATGACCCCAGGGCTTTGGTCAGGGCAGAGGGGCTTCCTGAGGCTCCACAAAAGAGAAAGGGCATGGGTGTCCAAGATAGGGGCATCTCCCCCAACTCACAGGCCCCTGAGGCTCTAGCTGAATGGACACCTTCCTTAATGCTAGGGGCTGGCTGTAGGCTGGGGCTTCTGTGCTACATGTTCTCCTCTGGGCCTCAGGGCAGGAATGAGCCTGCCTCTGTTGATTCAGCACGTACTATGTGCCTTTACTAGCTGCATACTTTATTTTGAAACCTTTTCATAACCCCAAAGAAGAGGTCATTATTTTTCCTATGTACATTTTCCCCCACTTAAATCAATCAAAGTATATGCAAATATTTAGGAAAAGTAATATATGCACGTGGTAAAAAATTTCAAACAAGACAACAATGATTCTGTGTAAAGAAGTTTTCTTTCTACTCTGAACCCAGGCCCCTTCTCAAGGGCAGCCAGACTGGAAACCAGCTCGAGAAATGTGAAGTGACCTACCCAAGGCCACAGGGTAGTAAAGCTGAAATTTGAACTCGCCACTAGCTGTCCTCTGAGTCGTGATATTTCCACTGTGTCAGACAGATTTTTGCCCAGTATGTCAAACAAGTCTGCATTCTCTTGAAAAGCTGGAATCTCCTTGGTGGGAGACTTTCCTTCTTGGTAAGGTTGAACTTGGAGATCACACAGAGTAGGCTCAAGCCCTGGATGTACCACAAAACAGCTTGTACACCTTGGGCAGCCATTTAATCTCAATTGCTCATTCCTTTGAAGGACAGTCTTGACCTCACTGGGTTGTTTAGAAAAAGCCATCATAGCTTGTGGTTTCATATGTAAGAGCCAACTCCTATCAGGTGAAACAGGATGCTAGCATTCCTAGTGTAGTTATGAGTGATCAGCTGAGCTTGTCCCAGAGGGGCAGCCCTGTTTGCTTTGAGTAGGCCCCAGATCACTCAGAGATTTTCAGATCATCTTGCTTGACCAGGGGCTTGGCCATATGATAGACTTGTCCAGTGTGCAGGACTGGACTTTACTCCAGCCTTACCACCTAGTGTGAAAAGTTGGGCAGGCCATGAGACTTCCATGTGAAGTGGGAATTTTCACAGTGCTGCACCAGGATTAGATGAAGGTGAGACAGGAGATTGCACGTAAGGTTCTGAGATCAGTGCTTGTCTCCTACTGTGTCCTTATTGTTTTATCATTTTTAATGTTTAAGCTCTTAGAGTCAAAATAGTAACCCCTGGAGCATGGGTCCACTCTTTTCCCTTGGACTCCATTATTTCTCTTTGAAGCACTGAAGCCATTCCCCCTGGACCCTATCAGGAGCCACCCAGGGTTGGTGGAAGAGAGAGGGGCTAAGAGTCAGGCGGGTTCATGGGTGTGGCTGTCCAGTGCAGGAGCCAGAGCAGTGCCCTGTGCTTGGCTGACTTCAGAAATTCCTGGGTACATCACAGCTACCACTCAGCTTCCTGGATATGCTTCTATTCAGAGAAGTTACTGGAAGATTAGAGAATCTTGAAAAGGTAAAATCTGGTCTCTTGGGCAGAATCTCCACCACCATGGTTAGCCAGCACCCAGCCTTTGCTCTGTGATGCAGGACAAGGCAAGCACATCTACTCTGCAAGCACAGTTAGCTTTCTGAGAATCTGGGCTTGGGCCTCTGAGCTATCTCAGTTCATCACAAAGGGAGACCCTGGCTCTATACCTATGTGTTGAGTGAGCACTTTCCACCAGAGGGTTTAAGGCATATAGGTCTTCTGAGCCCATTTCCTATAAAGGCATCCTTCATTCATATATTCAGATGTTTACTGAGCTCCTACGTTTGTGCCAGGCACTGGGCATAAAACAAGATAGATGAAGTTCTTGTCTTCATAGGGGAGGTGGTAGTGAACAGTAAATTAGACACTTTCAGGTTATAATAAGGTCTAGAAAGAAAATGAAAGCATGATGTAAATATGTGATGCTGAGGACAGTTAACACAGAAGATGTTAATTTCCAAGCCTCGCCAGACTGTGTTTTTATTTCCTGTGTTCTGCGTCACTGGGTCACACTGGAAGGTGGTCAGGTACCCTACCAAATGTAGCTTAACTCATTAGTATGACATAGAGCAAACTATTACCCATGGGCCAAACCTAAGCAACTGCTCTTGCCCCAAATCTAATAATCTTAAACAAGCTTATTTTCTCTGGATTCTTCTTTCAGCTGTTTCGATCAAACACAATTTAATTAACTTACCATTGGTAAATGGCTTTCCTTGCTTGGCTAACAAATGAGCCACTCGGAAACCTACTTTGGTTGCAGCCTCATTCTCATTTTTTATTGTTTTGCGTGTCTGCCGTGATGAGATATGCTGTTTTAAGTTTTCTCTTTTTTGACTGTTGTTTTTCTGTGAGTTGGGAATATTGTGATGTCAGTGTATCTCCTATTCTATTAGCACAACTAATAACAAGCACAGTGCTTTGCCATGTAATTTGATAAAAATAATAATCCATACCCACTGAGCCTTAAAAGTGTGACATTCGAAGTCTACTTTTCTTGTTTTCATGTGAAGGGCAGGCACCAATAATAAAAATAAATTTTAAAAATCTGTCACTAGGCAAGGTACTGCAAGTTATAACTATATTACTTGCATCTGTAGTTTACTGAGCACCTCATCAAGTCTCAGACTCAACCACTCAGCTCTGCCACTGTGACACAAAGGCAGCCATAGACAATATGTAAACAAATTCACATGACTATATTCCCATAAAACCTTTTTTTGTGAACAGTGAAATTTAAATTTTATAGTTTTCACATATAACAATATATTCTTCTTTTGAAATTCTCCAACCCATTAGAAAATATAAAAACCATTCTTAGCTCACAGGCCATACAAAAACATAAAGGGCAGATTTTGACCCTTTGGCTATAGTTTTCCAACCCCTGATATAAATGGTTAATAGGGCTCGTGAAATAGAATGAGC